AGTTCAAGTTTAATTGAACTAGAATCGAAAATTTCAAATAAACCAAAGCCCAGCGGTATCTCAGCTACCGTTGATGTTGACTCGCCCGTAAACAATATTGAAATAAATGTAAATGACGAAGATAATTCTAACTTTTTTAGACCAATCAGCAACCAGCGCGCAAATAACGCGACATTGAATTTTAATCATGCGCAGTCAAATGAAAATCCATTACAGAATCACCAGCTAGATTCTTTAGCTTCGAATCTCGCTCGTGAACGTATCGTGGCCCCATCTAGGAAGCCCCTAGATTCTATCGTTCGGAAATGGGGTATAAAATTTTCGGGAGATAGTAAGGTTAGCGTTGAGGAATTTCTTGAGCGTGTCGATGACGTCATGGAAATTTCCTCTGTCACCAGTGAAGAAGTCCTTCGCGCCGCGGTACTTTTGCTTGACGGAATCGCGCTTCAATGGTATAGGCAAAATAAATTGAAGTGGTCCTCTTCGGACCAATGTAAAGCTGCCTGTCGCGCTCGGTTCGGTGACGTGAATTATCAATGGCGACTCGAAGATCAGGTGACAAATAGAATCCAAGGCCCGGGTGAATCCACCGCGAATTATCTCACCTGCATGCAAGGATTGTATTGTAAATTTAACCGTGCCGTCACGAGTTCGGAAATGTTGGATAGAATTTACATGAACATGTTGCCGAGATTAAAACAATGTATCAAACGTCGCGAATTTAATAATTTAGAAGAGTTGTCTCTCATTGCGTCTGACGTTGAACGTATGTACAGCTCACTCGCGGTTGAGAGAAAGCCTCAAAAACCGGAAGATTCGTTCTTCCCAGAATTTGCCTTTTCGGGTAATAGTAATGAAAATTCAGTAGCTTCGAATAATACCAAAGACTCAGACTCATCAATCGATAAATTAGTAAACCTGTTTAGCGCGATGACTGAACAAATTAATAAAATCTCGAGAGGAAACAAAAACTCCCCTTCAGAGTCAAATCTTAAGAAACAAAATAACTCGGGTAAACCGAATCAATTAAATAACAAGTCTAAATCTCACCAGGCAGGTAACGATAAAGTTAAACTTAAGCGTAAAGAATTTCGGGAAGCGGTTCAACAACCTCCGTGCTTTAATTGTCAAGCTAACGACCATTCGTGGAATAATTGTAAATTAGCTTGGAAAAAATTCTGCCACATTTGCGGTAAACCGGAATTCACCAAATATGACTGTAATTCAGATTACTGTCAGGGAAACTAGTTGAGGAGAGCAGCGCTAGGGTCGATGCTTCTCCTTGTTCGTTACCTAGGACCCTGACTAACAAGAAATCGGACATGAATTTAACTCTTAACGTAGAATCAGCATTACCATCGCCCCATTCAAGTAATGTAGTAATTGAAAATAAAATAAATTCTTTAACAAATAAATCTGAAATGAAAATAAATGATGAAAATAGTGATTTTGGTAAGCCTCCGGTTGAGCCACCAGTAAATCAATCTGAATCAAGTTTAACCGATTCAGAAGTAACTTGTAAAATTTCAACTGACACAGTAAGTGTTCAGGAGAAAAATAAAAATAACTTAACTCTAGATTCGGACTCTATATTGAGCCCCGAATCTTATATTAACCTTGATAAACTGTGTGGAATCGGTTCTCAATCGAGACCATACATTAAATTGTTGATTGGTGGTACTGAAGTACAGGCACTGGTTGACACTGGCTCGACTGGAACTTACTTGAATTCTATTGGTAGATCAATTATTGAATCAAATGGTAATAAAATAAATGAACTTGAATCGGGTCACGTAATGTTGGCCAATGGTACGATTGAGACAATCATTGGTGAGGCAATCTTGCCTGTCACTATCGCGGGAGTGACTCGCGATTTAACAATTAAAGTTATCCCAGAGTTAACTGATCAATGCGTGTTAGGGATAGATTTCTTAACAAAATTTGGCGTAGTAATTGACACAAGTGTTCAACGGCTTTGGTTAGCGGAAGAACCGATTATTAGAATCGCGTTTTGTAAATCTAGCAGACCAATTAACCTTGAAGAATGTTCAGGCCTTATGACACTTTCTCTTAGGGAACAAGAGGAATTAGACTCGTTAATTAAAAGATTAGTACATCCTTTACCAGATAAACTACCAGCCGTTAAATTGGTTGAACACGTCATTAACACTGAGGATCATTTGCCGATCCGTCAGAAAAACCATCGAATGTCACCCAAAGTTTGCGAATTCTTAATCAGGAACTCCGGAAATCTTGAACGGCAGGGATTAATTGAACCCTCTCATGGGGACTGGTGTAATCCAGTCTGCATGGTAAAACAGCCGGACGGCACTTATCGTCAGTGTCTAGATGTTCGTAAATTGAATGACGTCACAGTAAAAGACGCATATCCCATACCGTTCATGGCCGAAATTCTTGATAAGTTAAATTCTGCCCATTATATCTCGACTATAGATCTCAAACTAGCTTATCACCAGATCCCCCTTAGTGCGGAAAGTAAAGCAAAAACTGCGTTTGTTGTACCGGGGAAGGGGCTGATGCAATACACTAGAATGCCATTCGGGCTTTGTGGAGCACCAGCCACCTTCCAACGGTTAATGGATAAAGTGATAACTGATGATTTGAAGCCCAATGTATTCGCCTACTTGGATGACATAATAATAGTCAATAAAAATTTTAAAGAACATTTAAAATGGCTTGAACTCGTAATCGATAAGCTGTTAAAGGCCGGTTTCACAATCAGCCCCGAGAAAAGCAAATTTTGTGTTCCCGAAGTCAGATATCTTGGCTTCAAAGTAAATAAAAATGGGTTATCCATTGATGATGACAAACTGCGCCCAGTTCTAGAATATCCTCAACCTAAGAATGTTCGACAATTACGTCGTTTTATAGGCGCAACTTCGTGGTACCGTCGTTTCATCCACGATTTCGCGAAAATCTGCGAACCCTTAACTCGTCTTTTAAAGAAAGACCAGCCATTTAATTGGACTAACGAGCAAGAAAATGCATTTTCTATTCTAAAGAAAGCCTTAACTTCTGCGCCGGTTTTAAGTTATCCCGATTTTAACCTTACATTTAACGTTCAAACTGACGCGAGTAATTGCGGGTTAGGTGTTGTATTAACTCAAATTCAAGATAATAAAGAGCGAGTAATCGCTTATGCCAGTCGAGTACTCTCAAGTGCCGAACGGAATTATTCCGTGACGGAGAGAGAGTGTTTGGCTGTCATTTGGGCAATAAGGAAGATTCGATGCTACTTGGAAGGTTATCACTTTAAAGTGATAACTGACCACAGTTGCCTTAAATGGTTGAACAACCTTCGTAACCCGACTGGCCGCTTAGCCCGCTGGTCTCTTGAATTATTAGAATACGACTATGAAATTTTACATAGAAAAGGGTCAATGCACCTTGTCCCGGATGCATTGTCCCGCATGTTCGAAGACGAGACTGAGGACAAAATCGCATTACTTCAATTAACCACCGATGACTGGTACGATAGACGTAAACAAGACGTAATTGACAATCCGCGTAAGTACCACAATTGGAAAGTGACTGACGATCGACTTTATTACTATCGTAGTAACCCTCTTTTGGAAGATCTCGTAGAAGATCTTTCAGCCTGGAAATTAGTAGTCCCCGAAAGAGACCGCTTAACCATCATGCGAGAAGCCCATGAGAATACTCAGGCTGGTCACTTAGGTGGCCAAAAGACCTACGATCGCGCATCAATCCGTTACTATTGGCCTGGCATGCTAAAAGATATAGAAAACTTTGTACGTAAATGCATTGTCTGCCAATTAAATAAAACCGAACAAGCTAAACCGCGTGGCTTAATGACACAACGAGTTGTTCACGAACCATGGAGTGTGGTGGCCACTGATGTCATGGGTCCTTTTCCCAGGAGTGCAAGAGGCTTCGAATACCTAATAGTATTCCAGGACCTCTTTACCAAATGGGTTGAGGTGGACCCATTGAGAACAGCCAACGCCAATACAGTAATTAACACATTCCGTGAACTCGTGATAAACCGTTGGGGCACTCCTCAAGTGCTTCATAGTGACAGTGGTACGGAATATAACAATAACGCGATAAAAGAATTAACAAAGACGTATCACATTCACCACTCTTTTAACCCTTTATACCATCCACAAGCGAACCCCGTCGAGAGGACCAATAGGGTCCTCAAGACTATGATTCGATCGTTCATTAACGATAACCATCGAAACTGGGACATTTACATCGGCGATTTTCGTTTCGCGTATAACACGGCGCTTCATAGCACCAATCGAGTCACCCCTGCCTTCTTAAATTTTGGAAGGGAACCAGTTTCTTTACGATCGTTCCGTCGCCTTGTGGAGGGGGAGGTCGAGTTGCCTCCTCCTGATGTCAATGAATGGACAACTCGAATGACCAGATTGAATGACCTAAGAGAGAAAATAACGTTAAATCAAGACAAGGCTTTCCTTCGCCAAGCCAAATATTATAATCGTCATTATAGGGACCAGCGTTTTGAAATCGGAGATTTGGTCAAGAAACCACTTCATGTCCTTTCCAGTAAACGCGATAACATAGCAAGCAAATTGGCCCCAGCCTTTCATGGCCCCTTTATGATAACCAAAATTATTTCTCGTAACATCTATGAATTGGCGTCAGTAGAGGGTCGTCTCGCGGGTAGATATCACGCTTCACACTTGCATCCCTATCATGCCGAGGACTTGAGCAGCGAATCTGAGGATTCGGAAGAAGAACGCATTTCCAATCGTGAATTGTTAGATATTAATTGGTCCGATACTGAATCTGAGTCCGCCCAGCCGGACGCAGTGGTTGATCCGATCATAGACGCGAACCCTGCATTCGAAGAGGAACGCGTTCACCGTCGTAAATTACGTAACCGGTCTTATTCTTACTAATTCACCTCTTCTCGGAATAATCTCGTTTTGCCAAAATTTCTGACCCTAATATTATTATCAATTAACTAAATTTATTAAATCATTTGACAGAGGAGATATTGCTTGGTCCACGTGGACTGGACTATGAGGAGGAGGTTGATTGTTGGGTGACAGCTCGCCATTTGCTCACACGAGAACGTTTCCCCTATCAGGATTCATTGTTTTCCGAGAGCGATTTGGAGGAAATTCGCCGCTCCATCGGCCAGGCTGTACCTATCCGCCTGTCACCGGAGGAGGAAATCTTCTTACCCAGGGTTGAGAGTCCAGAACCAGCCCCTCGTGAAGATTGGGCCTTAAGGCCTCAATCAACCCCAAATAATTTGCCAGAAGCTGGCCCTTCACTTCACGGGCCCCAGCCGGCTTTGAAGAAATCCCTGGCCCAAAATCCAACTTACCCCAGGATTAATAAACCCAAATACTGGGGAGTGGATAAGGCTCGTCGGGGCATTTGTGGTAAATGCCACCAGCCAGGTCATGGTTACCTCTCATGTCCACGTCTCTCGGAACAGAAACCAACGACAAATTACCCGAACCATTCGGCTAATTAAAATTTTTTTGTACTAGCCCTTGTAGGGAGGGGAAATACCCTACTTTAGAATTAAATTTATTAATAATCTTATTTAACGTGTTATTATTCTTGTTTTCAAAACCTAAATCCTTCCATAAAAATAATTAACTCCTTTTGATATTAAATCGACAAACTATATTCCATCATTTTGAATGTCACTTTAATTAATAACTTGAAACGTTCTCAATTTTTTTTGGTAAATTAATGTTTGATTTTTTTTTTATTATTAATCGAATTTGTGACGATGTAAATAGTCACTCTCTCGTAAAACCCCGAAAATCTAAATTGTGGTGCCACCTGTCAAAATTCATTGAACCGTAGAGTTCTAAAATTATGGTAATGAGGGAAACTCAGTGCCGCCGGCTGACCCAGTGAAAGCCGTGAAAGTGGGTCGCGCGGCTAGTTAGTAGGTAGAGAAAGTGACAGGTGGCAGGGCCAGTACCGAAATCGAAGAACGTGGGGAAGAAGACGAGCCAAGAGGAGAAATTTAGACGCTACAGGTGTCGAATGCTCGCGACGCCATAATGGATTTTTACATGAGCCGCGCCGGTACGCCAGTACTCTCGCTGTTGTGAATTTTCAATTATATTTGAGTTATTAGTGTATTTTCTTTGAGTTGAGTGTTTGAGAAAGTGGAGCGTGAAGCTCAGGATTTGTGAAATAAATACAATTATTTGCATTGAGCCGGAGTGTTGTTTTATTCTTATTGTTTTCTTCTTGAATTTTCCCTGTGTGCCGATACCTGGAGACCACTGCCAGTAGAGAGCCGAGATAGAGAGAATAAAAAGGGAAAAGGAACCTGAAGAACAAGAGCCGTGGGTAAGTCGTTTGCCAGTTTGTGCCAGTCGTGTCTCGCCGTTGGCATTTCTGCTTGCCAATCGTTCGAGCAGAATTCCCTCTGAGTGAAAGAGAAACTCAGAGGTTTGAAATTGTTGTTGAGAGTTGAGCCGAGCCAGAGAGTAGTTTATTAATTATCTTTAAAATTAATTGGCGCCTGACGGCGAAATTTATTTGTTTAAATTTCTAAAAATATTAATATTGTTGATAGCGTCAGATTTTGCCTGACGTAAGCAGAACTTTGAACTAAAAATAAAATTAGTTGAAATCATACGTCACAAAATTTGGCGCCCAACGTGGGGCCAGGCTCGAACCGAGACACGACTGAAATTTAATTGTGAGCCAGATTGTAGTGCAAGTGTGCCAGAAATTTGAATCTTTAATTTAGCCAGAGCCAAAGTTTATTTTGTCAATAGCCAGAAGATTCAAATTTTGTTGCTTGCCAGTGCCAGAAAATTGTATATGTTGCCAGAATTTAAAAATTTTTTGTTGCTAACGCCAGACATACAAATTGTATGTTACCAGCTGACAGAAAATTCAAAATTCCCAGTGCCAGATTGTTTATTGATTTATTTTGCCAATGCCAGAATTTACTTATCGATAAATTATAAGTAAATTAATACCAAAAATTGTGTAAAATAAAATTGTAGAGTGCCTTTGCCAACTATTTGAAAATTTAATTTTTTTTGAGACTGTAAAAATTTCCTGTCGTGATAAAATTTAAAAAAGTCAACAATTAAAAATTTTTTTTTCGAAAGCCAGTTTGTGAGAAAAATCCGAGAAAAATTCCCCACAACTTGTGCAAAAATCAAAAATTTTCCCAAATAATTTATGCCGAGCACATGTTACACCGGAAATAAAATTCGAATTAATCACGTGACTGTAAATAGTGCGCCGGACGGTCGAGAGAAACGACGCGCCGGGATATTTAAAATTTCGACAGCCGAGAGAAAGTTGAACGCGCCAGGAAAGAGTGGCCTAGTAGTAGTAGTAATAGCGGCTACACACACAGAGAGAGAGAACGAGAAGAAGAGACAGAAGGAAAGTCGAATCACCAGTCCGCCAGAAATTTAAAATTTTTAGAAGGGGGTCCTCCTTGAGTAGTCACGTCCTTGCTTCAAGACAGCACAGTGCCGTATATACAAATTGCGCACCCCCCTAGAAATTAAAAATTTTCAGACTTATAAAGTTTTTTTTTAATAATTTTTTTTGAAATGGCAAAGGCAATTGATGAGATGCAGGATTATAAGAGACGCATGAGCGAATTAATTGGAGTACCATGTGTAAGCCGAGCATGGGAAAAAATTAAAATCATGCAAGTTGGCCAGGTAGTGACGAATTTATTGAGACACCAATTGTGTATCAGTGGTTCGTCACAAGTGTTAAAGGAGAGATTATTGCGAGCGGAATTGAGATTAGCTCAAATCGATGATTTAGATGTACCATTTAGCGACATTTATGATTTGGGAAGTTCTGACCAAATTTTTTTAATGGAAGCTTTCCCAGAGCCAGAATTCGACAAATTCCCATTTGTAAATTATCGTCGAGGTGGCCAGATGTCATCGGCAGATGACGAAGAATCAGATAGTGGGGCAAGTCAGGTTATCGAACGTATTAGGACCAGGAAAACTCCAGGGAGTGGGGGAAACAAAACTAAAGTTGAAACAACGTACAGTAGACACAGTCCGACCAGCGTTGTATCCACCCCAAATTTTACACCCCCAACCCCAGTCATGACAACCGCCAGCATGACGACGTTTTCCCCCACCACATCGAATGCTCAGTTGAGTATGACAACGAGCACGGTCATGACAGCACCCCATACTATTCAGTCGGCCACAATGGCCCCAGTGGTCCAGAGCCTCCGTGATTCAGTCGCACGTTTAGGTTTGTCACCCGAAATAAAGAAGATTATGGAGTACGCCGAGAAGATGGACCGCCAGTATTCGGGAGGGGGGTGGGAGCTACGACAAAGCCAATGTAGGGCCGAGGTTGCCGAAGGGCACCACTTGATTCACCACCAGCAATCGAGACTAGTGTCCCCTCAAAGAAATTCCCTGTTAGCCGAGACCCCACACAATCACCAAACTGAGGATAGAGTGAGGCCCACGCCCGCCCCGAGAAGTCAGTCAAGCCGAAATAGCATGAGTGACTCTAGCATAAATCATCGTAGAGTGCCAGAAAATGGAGAGCCAGTCTTGAATCCCGAAAACAATAAGAGCCGAAGTAGGGGTAAAAGAGACAAGTTAGAGAGACAGATTGAATATAGTGGTAGTGAGGAGGGCCGTGTAAATAGTAGATGTAGTTGTAGTGGTAAGGACAATAACCAACCGGACAGGAAAAATCGAAGAAAGGCGAATAAAGAACGTATAGTAGGAAGAAGAGTGGGGGAGAGCCAGAGGTCGTTCTTAGATGACTCTTCGAGTGAGTCCGAAATCGAGAGCGACCTAAGTCAGAGGTTGAGCAGTAGTGGGGAGAACCAAGAATGTAGGCCAGTCCGTAGATCCAAAGTAATAAAAACACTGAAAGACTGGGACCTAAAATTCTTTGGAGATGAGGACAATGCCGAAGAATTTCTGGAACGATTGGAGGACTGTAAGGACAACTCAGATTTCTCAGACCGAGAAATCTTACTAGCACTGCCAATCATCCTCCAGAAAACCGCCAGTAGTTGGTTTAGGTCGTTACGTCGCGAATTAAATTCTTGGAGGTCATTTAAGAGGGCATTCAAAAATGAGTATTTAGTGACAGTGGACGACGATGACGTTATAGACGAACTTCGGGCCAGAACACAAGGAAAAGGGGAGAAAATTTCTCCATATTTAACCAGCTTCCGGTTGATTTTGGGTCACATGAGACGACCATTGAGCCAGAAACAACAGGTCAGGTTGGCCTATAAAGGCCTGACACCAGCCTACCGTCGTCAACTAGAACGACTCCATTTTGAATCGTTGAGCCAGATGGAGAAAATTCTGAGAAATTTTGAGAAAGCAAAGGACTTGGATGAAAGATACGCCCCACCACTACCCAAAGAGAAGATGCGTTTCCCCGCAGCAGCCATGAAAGAGAAGAAGAGTGGCCAGAAGAACAACAAGAGTGAAAAAGTAGCAGCACTTGAGAAGGAGTCGGAGTCGAGTGAGAGCGATCACTCTACAAAGACCGAAAAGCCGAAGAAAAAGAAGAAGAAAAATAAGAAGGTCAAGAAAGAAACGAATAAGCCAGAAGAGAAGAACGTCGAAGCAATTAGTCAAGCGACACCAAGCCAGAAGCCAGCAATGGCCCAGGGCCAAGTTGCCAATACTGCGCCACCACAAACAGTGCAAATGCCAATGCAATTTGCCTATCCAATGGTTTACCCAGGGATGTTTCCGCCTGGAATGAAACCAAATTACCCCAGGCCAAATGGTCCAAAGGGACCCAAACCGGGGCAAAATGGTACACAAACCCAAAATACCCCGAAAGAATTCGTTGGGGCATGTTTTCATTGCCAGACTACAGGACATCGAGCCAGAGATTGTCCTCAGAGAACCTGTTTTTCTTGCCAGCAACAGGGGCATTATGCAAATCAATGCCCTCTAAAGCCAGCCCAAACAGAAGCGTGTTTGGTATGCAAGAGGCCAGGAAGCAATTTTCTAAATTGCCCAAATTGTGTGTCAGTCAGAGCCGCCTTGGGAAACGGTGTGTGGGGGGCACAGAGCAGCCCTGTACCCCCCTCAAACCCAACAGGCCAGTAAATCATACTGTTGAGGGGTGTAGAGTCGAAAATGATGAGCCAAGTATAGTAGAGACGAGAACCAAGATTTTTGAGCCATGTAGAGTAGAGAGAAATAGTGAGTGTAGAGACCAATTTACGCCTAGTTGTAGTTGGGTAAAAACTGAGCGAGAATTGGAACTAGAGAGAAGAGAAGAAACGAAGGAAAGTTTAGACCCAGTCATAGGTAGGGACGACTTGACAGAGGACAACGCGTTCAAATTCGTGCCAGAATGTAATCAAGAGCGGTCGAGTGAGGAGAGCTCACTCTACCGATGCGAAGTGGAGAAAAGGGCCGAAGAGTGTGGGACAAAAGGTACGGATGTGATCCCGGTACCTATAGTCCAGGGGAGGGGAGAGGCTGTGAGAGTCACAGCTGACCCAAACCTAAGTGATGGAGAGGACATCGATGGATCTAGGACGGAGAACAGGTACTTCTTCGACATGACAATCGGCGACCGCCATTTCGAAGCACTGTTTGACCCTGGTGCGATGATTTCAGTAATCACCACCAGTGTGGCAGCACCTTATAAGAGCCGTATCCAGCCGTGTGGAACAGTGGTAAGGAGCGCGACAGGAGGTATTACTGAAACAGCCGGAATTCTGGACCTTAACATTGTGGTCGATGGATTTGCTCAGAAATTCGCAGTAAAAGTCATGAAGACTTTGACACAGGACATCATCTTGGGCATCGACTTCTGTAAGGCCTGGGACATGGAAGTGAAGCTGAAAGAAGGATTATGGAGAGTTTTCCAAGGAGAATGGCATGAGTTTGGGCCAAGAGAAAGAGAGAAGGATGAACAACTAATATTCGCCGAATGTGCCGGTATTTCTGCGCTCTACGATGAGCAAAAGAGCATCATTCAGGCCATTGTAGACAAATGGGTGTTGCCAGAATCGGAAGAACACGGAATGACAGACCTGACGGAACATCATATACGTGTTACGGACGAAACGCCAGTACAACATGGAATAAGACGGATGTCGCCAGCCATGCTGACTTGGGCCCAAGGTAATGCCGCAAAATTGTACAAGCTTGGGATCATTGAGCCATCAGCCAGCCGTTGGAGAAGTGCGCCAGTAATAACGAGGAGAGGAGAGAACGATTTTCGACAGTGTAACGACTACAGAGATGTCAACAAAGTCACAATCAAGGATGGATATCCACTGCCATCCATTGATTATATTTTGGATAAGCTCCGAAAAGCCAGATATTTGTCGAAGGTAGATCTCAAACTGGCATATCACCAAATACCAATGGCCGAAGAGAGTAAGAAATATACCGCTTTTGCCATACCTGGGTCAGGACTGTGGCAGTTTCGCCGGATGCCCTTTGGACTTATGAACGCGCCAATGACGTTTCAACGTCTAATCGACGCATTACTGGGGCCGAAAGTAGAGCCGCATGTCTTCGGATATCTGGACGACATAATAGTAGTCACAGACACTTTCGAAGAACATGCTAAGTGGTTGGAGTTCGTCCTAAAAAAATTGAATAAGGCGAAATTGATAGTGAATCCAGATAAGTGTGAGTTCGGGTGTTCCGAAGTGACTTATCTGGGTTACTTATTGGACAGAGAAGGTTTGAGGCCAGACCCGAATAAGACAGAGCCGGTGAGAAACTATCCAGAGCCGAAGAACGTGAGACAACTTAGACGTTTCTTGGGCATGGTCGGGTGGTATTCCCGTTTTATTCCAAACGACAGTGAAATCAAAATACCATTGTTGAAGTTGCTACATAAAGGCCGGACGTGGGAGTGGGAGGACGAGCAACAAGAAGCGTTTGAACAGCTTAAACAGAAGCTGACATCTGCGCCAGTCTTAGCCCGACCGGACTTCACGAAGAAGTTTACCATTCAATGTGACGCCAGCAACTATGCCATTGGAGCCGTATTAACACAAGAGTTTGAAGACGGAGAACATCCGATAGTCTACATTAGCCGAGTCCTAACGGAGCCAGAGAGAAACTACAGTGTGACAGAAAAGGAGTGTCTGTCATTACTGTGGTCGATCAAAAAGTTCAGGCCGTACATAGAGGGGTACAAATTCCATGTGATCACGGATCACAGTGCCCTAAAATGGCTCAGGAACTTAAAAGATCCGACAGGCCGATTAGCCAGGTGGGCCCTGGAAATGCAGCAGTGGGACTTCGACATTGTTCACAGACGAGGTGCACAACATCATGTCCCTGATGCATTGTCCAGACTGCAAGAAGATGAGGAAGAGTCAGTAGCCGCGTTTGAATCCATTGAGGACCAGTGGTACCTCAAACGCCGAGAGTTGGTGAGCCAGCATCCTCAGAGGTTTCCAGGGTGGATCGTTGAGAACGAAAACCTATATCGCCATCGGAGTGACCCACTTCTACTGCCGATAAACGGAAATGAGGACGGTTGGAAGTTAGTTGTGCCAGAAGAGTACCGAGAGAGGGTTATGGAAGATGGACATGCCCAAGCATCAGCCGGACACTTGGGGATTGAGAAATCTTACGATCGGATAGCACGAGAGTACTATTGGCCAGGCATATGGAACGATGTACACCACTATGTGACACATTGTCTCCAGTGCCAACTGCATAAGGTGTCCCAAACCGGACCAGTCGGACTGATGGGCCAGAGGATCGTCGAGAGACCGTGGGCCGTAGTAGCTGCCGATACGATGGAGTTTCCACCGAGTAAGAGCCAGTGCAAGTACCTGGTGGTGTTCCAGGACTTGTTCTCGAGGTGGATTGAGGTGAAGCCACTGAGGTCAGCTGATGGGAAGTCGGTAGCCAGAGCATTCGAGGAGTTGGTCCTATTCAGATGGGAAACGCCAGAGTACTTATTGACTGACAACGGTAAGGAGTTTGACAACAAATTTCTCAAGTCCACACTCGAGGAATATGGAGTCAAGCACATTACGACCCCTCCTTACCATCCACAAGCCAACCCAGTCGAACGAAGCAACAGGACTCTTAAAACGATGATCTCCACCTTCATTGGTGCTGATCATAGGAACTGGGATCTTCATGTGCATGAGTTCCGTCATGCGGTGAACACAGCGACACAGGCGGCGACCAAAACGTCTCCTGCGTTCCTGAATTACGGAAGACACCCCAAGCCAGTGAAGAGCCTACGAAGAGAAGTCGAGGGAACGAGAAAAATAATTAGAATAGGGCCAGAAGAGTGTGTAGATAGGATAAAAAGGTTAGACGCGTTAAGAGATATGGTGGCCAGACACATTGACAAAGAGCGAGCGAGACAAACAAAATACTATGACAAAGGTAGGAAAGAAGTGACTTTTAAAGTAGGCGACTTAGTACTACGGAAAAGCCATAAGTTGTCCAGTGGGGCACAAAAGTTCGCGACGAAGCTGGCACCGAAATACGAGGGTCCCTTTGAGATCGTTGAAGTTCGGTCGCCAACTGTGTTCATTCTGCGAGATGAACAAAGCCGAAGAGTCCCCAAAGTCCATATTACCGACCTGAAACCATACTTACCTGTCCTAAATTCATAAAATGTCAATTTCTGGTTGAAATTAAAGAAATTTTGTTTTAGAGCGAACGAGGAGTTACGGCCAGAGAAAGGAGTCGAGGAAGAGAAAGAGAGAAGCCATGCCCAGGCAACAGAACACCCGAAGCCAGAGGTCACCGAGCCGCCACCAAGTGTCGTCCGATTTCGTGGGACTCGAATGGGAAACATCCCCATCCCCACCACGAATCACTCGACAGGGAAGACGTCGAAGTGGTCACCGCCCCGAATCGGAGTTTCACGATGGAGACGTCCAAAGGAGTAGACCGTCGCTATTATCCTTCCCGATCATGGAAACGACAGCAGAGGAACCGTTGGTGAGTAGGAAGGGTACCGAAAGAAGAAGAGATGACGATCGTCCAACAACGGAGAGAGGACAGAGGCCAGAAGAAGAGGAGGGGGCAGCTGGAGGGCAGGTCACGTTCGTGACACGGCCAGAGGACTGGGCGGAGTTGAGTGTGTTGGAGGAGAGGGGAGAGAAGGAGAAGAAGAGGACGATTCGGCCAGACGGAGCAGAGGTGGTTGTACCTTACCGTTGGCCGGCAAACCAGGGCCCCAAAGAGAGTCTCGAGGCATACGAAAGCAGATTAGCCGAATACGAGCTAGAAATGTTTTTAAAGTCGAGAGAGCCAATGACGACGGTAGCGCTGGAAAAAGCCAGGGCCGGACAAAGGAAGGCGCTTCGAGAGAGGAGCGAAAGGCAGTGGATCGTAGATGACCTCGAAAGTCAAGAGCCCATGCCACGGATGAAGAGGTCAAGTAGCCCTCATCCAGGACCCCCGACTACATCAAGCCAGAAGCTAGGAGCCAGACCGGAGGAGTCAGTTCTGAAACCGAAGACTAGGGGAATAGTCTTTGGTGGCTTAAAGTTGATCCCGACAGATAGGTCGATAGATCCCCCGCCCTACAGTTGTTTTAACTGCTGGCGAGGGGGACACAACGCCGAAAACTGTCGTCAATCAAAAAGGTATGACTATTGTTGGAACTGCGGCCGACGTTACACCACAGTAGAAATTTGTCCCAGGTGTGCCAAGGCGTATGCACGCTACATGAGAAGGCCAGAGAAAAAGGAGAAGAGGGAGGAGGAAAGGCCAGAGAGAGAGGAGAAGAGGGAGGAGGAAAGGCCAGAGAGAGAGGAGAGGAGGGAGGAAGAAAGACCAGAGAAAGAGGAAAAAGGGGAGGAGGAAAGGTCAGTGATAGAAAGAAGTAGCGAGGAAATTGTCGTGAATGTGAAACCACCACAGCAGGAAGCAGACCCAATAGAAGGGCAGGAAGTCAAGGAACAGGAAACCGCCGAGGGGAAAGGAATAGAAGAGGAAATCCCAGACGACTTGACCCAAAGGATTATAACAATCACAAAGGCACTTGAGGGTTTGCCAGCGGAAACCCTAGACCTAGCCATAAGACAACTCTTGAGGGAAAGAGAAAGTAGGCTAGAAAGGGGAGCCCGAAATTAAACGACGGTCAGAGAGAGGAGAAAGAGAAGGGCCAGATAAAAAGGTGGAATGGCCAGGATAGAAACAACGGTCAGAGAAAGGGGAGAGAGAAGGGCCAGAAAAAAAAAAAAGTAGGAGAGCCAGAGAGAGTAGGAGAACCGGAGAAAGTAGGAGGGCCAGAGAGAGAGTAGGAGAGCCAGAGAGAAAGTAGGAGAGACCGAAATGAGGATCAAGATTATCATTTTGATGACGGTACTATAAAATAGTACCGGTCATGGGGAGGGGATTGTGACGATGTAAATAGTCACTCTCTCGTAAAACCCCGAAAATCTAAATTGTGGTGCCACCTGTCAAAATTCATTGAACCGTAGAGTTCTAAAATTATGGTAATGAGGGAAACTCAGTGCCGCCGGCTGACCCAGTGAAAGCCGTGAAAGTGGGTCGCGCGGCTAGTTAGTAGGTAGAGAAAGTGACAGGTGGCAGGGCCAGTACCGAAATCGAAGAACGTGGGGAAGAAGACGAGCCAAGAGGAGAAATTTAGACGCTACAGGTGTCGAATGCTCGCGACGCCATAATGGATTTTTACATGAGCCGCGCCGGTACGCCAGTACTCTCGCTGTTGTGAATTTTCAATTATATTTGAGTTATTAGTGTATTTTCTTTGAGTTGAGTGTTTGAGAAAGTGGAGCGTGAAGCTCAGGATTTGTGAAATAAATACAATTATTTGCATTGAGCCGGAGTGTTGTTTTATTCTTATTGTTTTCTTCTTGAATTTTCCCTGTGTGCCGATACCTGGAGACCACTGCCAGTAGAGAGCCGAGATAGAGAGAATAAAAAGGGAAAAGGAACCTGAAGAACAAGAGCCGTGGGTAAGTCGTTTGCCAGTTTGTGCCAGTCGTGTCTCGCCGTTGGCATTTCTGCTTGCCAATCGTTCGAGCAGAATTCCCTCTGAGTGAAAGAGAAACTCAGAGGTTTGAAATTGTTGTTGAGAGTTGAGCCGAGCCAGAGAGTAGTTTATTAATTATCTTTAAAATTAATTGGCGCCTGACGGCGAAATTTATTTGTTTAAATTTCTAAAAATATTAATATTGTTGATAGCGTCAGATTTTGCCTGACGTAAGCAGAACTTTGAACTAAAAATAAAATTAGTTGAAAAAAAAAATTAAATTAAAAATCTAATCATGGAAATGAAAAATATATAATTATAATATTAAATCTGATGACTATTGTGGTTGATCGGTAGTCTGACGGAGATGATTCGTTGAAGAGAGCTCATCGGTTCGCCTTCTATCCCCCCCTAGGTTCACCCTTGGCAGGAGGGAGTTGTAACGCGGCATTTTATTTGCCGCGTACAAATTAATATTCCTTAAATAATAGACTTTAAATTTTATTGATTCACGTCAAACTGAGAATCAACAATCATTTTCTCCTTCTGAGAAAACTTACTTTAAAATTTTTTCCACCATTGTAAAATTTAGTTTCTCTTAAAATATTGTTATTTAAACCTGAAAATTAGCGAACCGTCAGATCGCTGCTCAACACTATTGCTATTAAACATAAGAAGGTGATACTCGATTTATCATTTCATGTCCACTGTCATCGCGAGATCCGGATTTTCAATCTTCGGGATCACTGCCGAGAGATTGCTTCGTATTCCAACAAGTAATGTTTTTACTTGTAATCATTACGGGTCACACGAAGTGACAAAAAAGCGAAAGTTTATCGACGAGGACATCAGCTGTCAAAACACTGGCTGCAGCCATCTTGTGAACCGGACGTCGTCGCGCAGTGCCCCTCGCGGAGACTAAACGAACTTTCATGAACTCCTTTTTTTGACGGTCGATAAATGACCTGAATTACTTACTGTCGCGCATCGATTACCTACCGAAAATCTTTGTATCAAGTGCGCGTGAGACTCACCACGAAGCAGAGATGCGCGTCTGCTTCGGCGTCCCCGTCGGCCATTTAATTCATTCTCAATTTGGCGTCGTTTAATGACAGGTCACAGTAGACCGTTTTTGTAATAATTAAAATAAAAAGTTTAATAAGTTGTGCCTACTTCCCTGGGATGATCCGAGGAACAATGCGGGGGCGTCGGCGCATCTCCGGTGAGTCTCAAAAGTAATAATGTGTTGTCTCCTGACGGAATATTCGATCAAAAATAAACTTGTCAATTTTCTTTGTTTCACGACATGTCATTTTTGTAACTTTTAAACAGGTCCCGTCTGGACCTGTAATTTCTTGTGATTAAATCAAAAACTAAAACAAACTAACTGGTGATTTCTCTTACCCCGCGCTCTCCTTGAAAAGATTGAGCTAGCATAAAATTAATTAAAATAATAGGTTTGAATATTTTTCCATAAAATATCTCTGGCGTTCGGGCATAAATTTAAAACAACAAAGTAACGTGTGTTTTATTTAATTAGTTGATCCTGAAGTAAACATAAATAAATTCTTGAAATAAAATAGCTTCATTTAGAGTAACAAAATTAAGAGTAATTTCTCAAATAATTATAAAAATAGTAAGACACCCGTTATAATGTATAATTTTAAAATATCAATAATTATATAATAAATTATAAATTAACCAATAATACGTACTAGAAAATATTAAATTAGGAAATTCAAATATTATTAGAGGAAAATAAATAACAAAATTAAGTAAACAAAAATATTTATTTAAATGAACCAAATACGTTTACTAAAAGTATTTATTTGAATCAAACAAATCTTTTCTCTTGAAATAAACAAATTTTTTAGTTATATTAAATAAAATTTTTTGGTTAAGTGTAATAAGCATTTGGTTAATACAAATAAACGTATTGGAAGAAATTTTTTGGTTGAATCAAACAAACGTTTGGTTGACTGTATAGCAATGCATTTATTTGGTTGATTCAACCAACATTTGGTTGATTCGAACAAATTTTTTTCTGAGTGTACGAATCTAATGTTAAAATTTTATTTTTCAAATTATTCGATCCACTATGACGGATTCAAAATTATGGTTTTCTACATTTTTAAGTAAATAGTCTAAATATTAATTTATAGATTAATATTTACAAAAAATAATTATTGGGATGTTTTAGAAACTCTTTTATAGAAATTTAACTTTTTATACCTCTGCTCTTAAAAATCGATTATTAAAGGAATATTTAAAAAAAAATTTGAATCCGCCATGCCATATTAGATTCAGTAATTTAAAAAATAAATTTTTAACATTAGATTCGTAAATAGCGCTTCCAAATATCGCCCTTGACGTTGTTTTAGAATATTTACTTCGAAAATGTAGAAAATTAAAATTTTGAACCTGCCATATTGGATCCAAAATTTTGAAAATTAATTGTTACGAACACCCTATTGTGCACGTTTGTACGCTCGCTTCATATTCCGCCTCGCTACGGAGTTTAATTCCGCGGTACGCGCTCCCACTAAAGTCGCAATATCTCGAGAACTATTAGAGTCTCCATAAATTTTTTTTTATGAAATGAAAGGTGAAATTACAAGGAATCGATATTTACTTATTAGAAAATTCAAAAATTAGGCCAACTGAACTAAAAATTAATTCAAAAATTTTTTTTGACTTTTTTTTGACAAATTTTGGAATTTTTTTTTGTTCATAATATCAAATTAAACTACTTATTTTTAACTATATCGCCTGTAAATTTTATTAAAATCGATCAAAAAGTTTCAGAGTTATTAATTTTTGAAAAAAACGCAACATTCATTTTCAATATGGCGTAGCGGCCGCCATTTTGAAAATTTTTCAAAATCCTTTTAGGGTTAAATTTAATTCATATCAGACTTCTATTTCCCAAGATTTTGAAGAAATCGGAAGACCACTTGCAAATCGCTTTTTTCTGACGGAGTCTTACCCAAAAGCAAAATAATTTCCGATTTGGCCTGGAATGCCCCATAGACATAAGGCAAATTTAAAAAGTTAGTTTTATGTGGCCAACTTCAGAAATTTTGACTCAATATTTATTATAAAAATAAAATAATAAATTAATTAGTTTATGTCTCTATATATAGAGATAAAGATGTCTATTTATAGAATAGACATAATTTTTTTTACATTATTATTAGTCACATATTGTCATAAATAAGTTATTTCGAAAATACCCCAGGGTCAAACCATTTTATTTCGCCTAATGTATTTTTGACCTTTATAAAAAATTTCAATACTTCGGGAAAATATTCTTACATGTTTTGGGATTACGAAATGCACAATGATTTGTAAAAAATAATTTCATTTCATATAAACATATAAACATTGACAGACATTACAATAGTATATTGTGCAACAAGTACAGAAAGAAGCTGTTTTCCGACGAGTGCAAAGTTTCCTGTCCCGAGCGAAGCGAGGGCAGCAATTTGCACGAAGTCGGAAAATCTTCTTTCATACGTGTTGCACACAGTACTTTGTGCAACACCTTATGGTTTTGATAAAAAAAGCTGTTTGAAAACGCTAGTTGACGCCAATATACGTACTGTTTAGCAGGGTTTGGAACGTATGTTACCGCACGTAATATACGTGGTTTTCTACGCGTATATTACTGAAAAAAACAGGTATTCTACAAATAGAAAACAAATATCTATGTATATCACCAAAAAAAACCCAAAAGTTTAAGAACTTTGCCGCACAAGTGCAACAAAGTAAGCACTTTGCCGCACTAGTGCAGCAAAGTAAGCACTTTGCCGCACTAGTGCAGCAAAGTAAGCTCTTTGCCGCACTAGTGCAGCAAAGTACTGTTTTGCGCCTACTTTACAGGCATGCAAAGTATTACTTTCCTTACAGGTGTTGCACAAAATATTTAAAAACGGAGTAATCTCTTTAAGAAATATAAAAAGAGCGATTGATATTTATTTTTAAAGACTGAATTTGTGTTTTGAACTTGATAAAAGTATCAAATAATTTATAATAAACTGTAAAATATGCTATTTAAGTTTCTGTATGAAATGTCAAAAATCGATTATATTTAACAATTTTTTTTGACAAAGTAATTTAATTTTAGTAAATCAGA